CCAAAAAGTAACACTTGTTTTGAATAAACTACATTGGCCCAAAAGAAGTAAAACCAGCTCTGGATTTCCCGCACAAAATCCACATAGTTAAACTTGAATTCCCCTTTGGCTGCTCCCCTCAGTCCATTGCATTGCCCAATCGGTTACCCTCCCTTTTGTTATGGGAACTGCCTGGATCGGTCGAACACCTGCGCAGCGTGGCCTTGAAGGGGGGAGCAGGGTCTCACAGTGTGCAGGCGGAGTCTTGGCGTTCCGTTCCTACCCCAGACATTACAGCCACAGACGAGGGCGGATCAGAGAACAATTACTTCAGGTCTAGGAGCCCTAGACTCCTATTAATGCACCCCAAGAGACTATTTCCAGTTTCTGCAGCAACATCATTAACGTCCCTGTCATAGTGATGCAAAGGGCTATAAATATACGGATGGTAAATTACCAAGTTGAAAATTATGACCTTAGCAAGAGGTCTAAATTTAGTAGCTGGTTTACTAAGAGTCTCAAATGGTTCAGAGGGTGTGCCACAGCCATATTATCCTTTTATTTTTCTAAAGGTGGACACTATATTCCAGTTTCCTTAAAACAATTTTGAGGGAAAAGTAATCCTACACAGTATGGTTCTCAATTAGGGTCTTATAACAATCTAACTGTGGCTAGGAGGGCAATCTACTCTTCTGCCCTCAATTATGCAAGTTCCTGGAAGTATCTCCAGCGAAGCTTTAGGGTTATAATAGACGGGACCTCAGGGTTGAACTGCGGAGTCCTTGGTGCTCGCTGAGGTTGGTGGCTGGGTTGCAGTCATAACACTGCTGCTGTTGCTGAGTGTGAGGTTTGCTCCTGTTTATGTCACAGCAGCTCGCCCTGCCAGTGTTCGTGTGGGTGTGGTTTTCTCCTTGGTAGTTCCTTAGTTAGGGTATTGTTTTTTGCTTGATGGTTTGCTTGATGTGAATCCCTGCTCCTCTGGGTGTTGGCTGCTGGAGAGGATGCGGTCTCATCTTTTTGTTTCCTCAGCTTTTTTATTGCCTCTTTTGAAGGAGCGTAAATGTAGTTTGACTCTCCATGTCTATAGAGGACTGATTTGTCTGAATGCCACGCTTTCTACATCCCACTTTTCGGGATTTAACTTAGTCTGGGATGTTGACAGTTTCCCAGTTGAAGCTATGGTTTAGTCTGTCTATGTGTGGTGAGATAAAATAGGTACAATATCCTAATCAACTACCAAGGAAAAAATCTCACACACACACACACACACTGTATGTAAACAGGGAGCAAACCTCACCTCGCTCCCACTGAGGACAAGTTACCTACTAGTCAGTAATCAAATGTCAGCAAGCAAACAACCAAGTTTAAAGTCACAGTTAGGAATCACAAGGACAGGCACCTGGAAGGCCATTTTAAACTACCAATTGAAATTAATCTTTAGCCAGGTGGGTTGATCAACAACTTTAGATCAACCTGTATCAGAGAAAAAAATGTGCTGCGGGTGTTTTATCCAGTGAGGAAATGCAGAAAATGAGATGTGCTGAAGCAAAACAAATATTGGGGGGGGGGGGTGTTTAGATAATGGCAGTAAGTGATTAGCATGACACCAAAGCAATGTCAACCTTTAAGGTGCGCTTGACCATTAAGCCAGCTGGTGATTGCCAGTCCTTAACAAATCGTAGACATCCCAGAGCATATGCCAGGGCTAGTTTTAATGCAGTCAAGTAGTTCATCGAATTGTAAAAGTTGAAAGGGGCCTAAGAGGTCATATAATCCAACCCTCTGCATATTGCAAGATGTATTACACCGTCTATAATGAAAACCTCCACTTTACTTTCTGAAAATAAAATTTTAATTAGAACCACAAATACTTTGATATAAAGTACGATCTCAGAAGCATAAATGAAAAGCGTGTCCTAGATCTCTCAGTAGCCTTCAGTACCATCAACTCTCGTATCCTTCTGGGCTGTCTGAGGGAGTCGGAGGCAGCTGGGGACATGGGGGACCTCTTGCGTGGTGGGAGAGGAAAGATCGTAAGACCGTGATTTGCAGGGAGCCTGACAGCCCTGTTCTCTCTGGGCTCCTTTTCAATATCTGTATGAAGCTACTAGGAGACGTCAACTGCTGGTTTGGTGTGAGGCCTCACCAATATTATGGGACGAGGCCCAGTTATCCATGTCTGTCCCTGGCTCTCCAAGGGAAGCTCCTGGGGCTCTTTCCCAACATCTGGTGGTGGTGAGTCTGGCTGGGGAAGAAGTTGCTGTTCAATCCAGCCAGGACTGAATGGTTCTGGATTTGAGGTTTCCCAGATCCGGGAGCTGAAGGGTTTGTATCTTTTGTTCTAGACGGGGTGACACTCCTCCATTCAGACGTGGTGCACAATCTGAGGTTTTTCCTGGACTCGCAGCTTCTGCTGGAACTGCAGGTGGCAGCGTTGCCTGGGGTGCCTTAGCACAACTGCACCTCATTTACCAGTTGCTTCCATTCCTGGACCAGGAGAACCTGCTCATTATCACTCATGCCTCGGTCCCCTCCTGATGGGATTATTGCAAAACATGGGGATACCCTGGAAAAGCATCCGGAAGCTTCATTTGGTCCAGAATGCAGCAATGTGGGTAGTTATGAGAGCAACTCATTATGGCCCCACGATTCTGCAAGTTGCACTGGATTCTATAATAAAACTTGCATGGAACACTTTTATAATGAAACAAAAATAGGCTTTTATCCCCGGGAAATACTATAAAAAAATTAGAACTAGGAAGGTGAGAAAAGAGAATTAGAGGATGATTCAACCCCCTTCAGCCCTCTTCACAAGAAATTTGAATTCCATCTGCTTAGCCACACATTTAATGAAATTGTTTGAATTGCCTTTTTTGATGTATACAGAATGGAACTGTGGGGATTTTTTCACAATATCCCATGTAAAATAGACACATCTCATTTTGTATATGAGAAAACAGGTTAATCCTCTCCACCTCCCCTTCCCTCCTTCACTTTTTCTGCTAGCTAGCGAGCTCTTGCTTGCTTCAAGCTTCCATCTGGGTGTAGATCCTAAACAAGTCACTACAAGCCATCTCCACTTAAGGACAGGGTAGAGCCGGGGGGGGGGGACTTTTAAGTCTGGATAAAAGAAAGCCTGAGCAGCCTTCTGCCTCCCTCCCTCCCTCCCCCAACTCAAAAAATATTCTTTGATGCAGTCCAAATTCCAGTAGCTTCTATGATTCTTGGAAGGAGAAGGCAGAGCAGAAGATATCAACAGAAAGAAAGAAAGGGGGGGGGGGGAATTAGTAATTATTGGATATAAAATTAGGGCTTCAATGTCATTTCAGAAAAATATAAACTGTTAACCCTCAGTTCCTTCCCTTCTTTCTGCAGGGTGGGCTGGAGAGGTTGGGTTGAAATGGCCCCAGAAGTTCCCTGGCTTTTTCCAAAGGGAATCATGGCTTGTAAGAACGACTCAGGAGAATGGCTGGATGAGGGGTAACAGTGCATGGATGAGTTGGAAAAAGTAGCACACGGCATCTTTCCAACTTTTGGGATCAAGCGATCCCCACATGTTATAAGTGCCATAATTGGGACTGGAATTTCCATCACTAAGCAATGCAGTCATAAAGTGTGAGCTTGCACAATCCTGGCACTCTCTGTTGCCATCACTAACCAAGAGGTATACATGGCTTAGCAAGGACTTACCCCAACCCAAACAACCTTGGTAAGAGAAGAGACTGGCCTCCCCAACCTCCACCTTTTGACCACCCTCAGAAAGCCTGCCTTGGACACAGTCCCAGGACAGGCAGCTCAGGGGCTGCAGCCAGCAGCGCTGCACAAAGCTGCCATCGCAGGAAGCACCAGCACGGTAGCAGAAGACCACAGCAGTGTGGAGCCACTGCCCTTTGTGAGGCATTTTCCCCAGGTCTCACGAGGAAACCACCACACAATTTGGGGAAGAAAACTGCCTCACAAAGGGCCCGGTGGGCATGCTTGCTCAGAAGGGGGAGCAGGAAGGGGTCAAAGGGGGGGGGATCAAGGAACATGGAGTGCAGGGGACCTAAAGGACATGGGGGGGGGAAATTGGAAGTGCCCCTGAAGTCATAAATGCAGATGGATTCTTGGAATTTTGCATGATGTAAATTAAATAATCCAGAGAACTTCAGAAATGCTGAAATGGGGGGGGGGGGCAATAAATGAGCAAGCTTTGCAGAGGGTATCTAGCAGGGCAGGAAAGTCGCAAGGCTGTCACATTGGAGCTGCTTTTTCTGGGGTGCTCTAAAGTAGAGGTCTCCAACCTTTGGGGCACCAGGGACTGGTTCTGTGGAGAGAGGTTTTACCGTGGATCAGAGGGTGTGAGGTTTTGTGTCTGCCTGCATCTTGCGGGTGGGGCTTTGCTTGTTTGTGTGGCCCGGTTGCTGGCATGCTGCTGCCCAGTGCTGGTCTGCGGATTGGGGTTTGGGGATCCCCGCTCTAAAGCAGGGCTTTTCTGCCTTTTCACAGATTGTGCCTCTTTTAGGACATGACAGTATTTGAGTACCACCAGTGCTTAGCAAGGTGTCAAAAACTTGATGACTAAAAAAGGGGGGGGGATTTGGGGTTTTACTGATTAGATTCATTTGTTGTTGTAGAAATGGCTAGTTTATAATATTATGGAAAAGTAAAAAGTTGAGGTTCAATGTTAATGCTTCGTTCTACTGCAACAGAGGAAGTCGGAAGTCAGTGTCTTTTTTTCCCCCTTCTCCCCATCACTTTTTCCCCCTTTTTCCTTCCCACTGTGTCCTACTGCTTGCTTTTATATTTTTGTATTTTATTCTATAATCTAATAAAATGTTACAAGCTGTAAAAAAAATGAGAAAAAGTACCGGTTTTAATTTCTTAAAATTCCTTTGCTGAATCACTTTCCCTTTGCACTGACAAATCTATGATGAATGTATCCATATTTATTAATATGCACCACTACCTTGGTGGTCAGATGGCTGGTTTTATAATATCCCCAAAATATTAAAGGTCTGACAGTGCAATATTTTTAACAGGGAGAAGATTACGAGGGAAAGCCTTCTACAATGTTAATGGAAAGGTCTACTGTGAAGAAGACTTCCTAGTAAGTAAGATTTTAGGCGTGGATCAAAAACGTATCCTCTTCAGTGCTATTGTGAAAGTCTTAGGAAAGTAATGTGTGAAGAACCATTCTCGCTTTTGCAGTCGCATTTTCAGTTTACTAGTTAATCGTGAAGATTTGCCTGATTGCTGGAAAGAAAATGTGTTTGTTACTTAACCGAACTAAAAGGGAAAGCCTTATAACTCTCTTCCCCCTTTTTTTTTTATAAACAGTATTCGGGGTTTCAGCAGACGGCAGACAAGTGCTTCATTTGTGGCCATCTCATCATGGAAATGGTAAGAGTTCTGGCTTCAGAAAAAAGGGGGCTGCTGGGGCAGTTGGGCTGCAGTGCTCTTTCTCCTCCCCAGGCACACACACACCTCGCAATCACAATTGTGTCCAGGTTTGCCTCTTACGCTGAACAGGTTTGTGAAGATGCCAGCAGCTGCATTTGCACAACCTACTAAGCTTGATTAGCTTTAACGATTACTTTTTTGTATCGTAACATGTTCTGAGAATTTGGCTTGTTGACCATACATTTCAGTCTATTGTGTGCAGCCAGAAAACAGATTTGTGCTGTAACCAAGTTCAGTCTGTTGTATGAACCCAGCCAGTCACAGGTATTGCGTCTTAGAAAACTACTGCCCCCCCCTGATCTCCCCACAGGGCTCTTATCTGTGGCCCCAAGACATATTCCAGATTGTCTCTTCCTTGCAGGGGCTGCCTTGAATATGTCCCCCCCAGGGGGATTGTTTCCTCATGATACTGCATAAAATCATAAAATGAACCAATTTTTTCCTTCAGGGACAAAGAAACTTTGCCACCAAGTGGTATTCTGCTGGCAATATATTAATAAAAATATTTTTATAAAATGTTTGTTAGTTTGGGGTGGAAAATCCATTTGAGGTTCTGTGAGGAAGTTCTTTGAAGGTGGTTTTATATGATGGAAGGTATGCCTAAAGGGGAACAGACCACACTTTGCATAATTTGTGACCTATGATTCTTTTCCAGATTTTGCAAGCTCTTGGGAAGTCATACCATCCTGGCTGTTTCCGCTGTGTGGTGTGCAATGAATGTCTGGATGGCATACCCTTCACTGTAGACATGGAGAACAATATTTACTGTGTCAAAGACTATCACACGTGAGAATGCAGAGCTCTGCAGGGCAAAAGAAAAAAGGGGGACCCCCTGCTCAGGTCATGAGGAAGGGTTGACTGCTGCTAAAGGAGACAATATCCAGGATCAAGTCCAGTTAAGGACTGACAGCAAGGCGATCTAGTGTTCAACATTTCTGTATGTTGCATTGAAAATGTAACAGGAACTTTTCCTATACTGAAAGGAGAGCACGTCTGTTTTCTTTTTTCTTTTAAACATTTCCACCAATGGTATTTGGAGATGAATGAAATCCCATCTATTAAAGGGATGGCTCGTGGGGACCAAATAGGTCTCACTAGGCAGCCATTCAGTTGGGGGGATTGTCTTAGGTTAATGGCATCGTCATTTTGTTCAGCTGTCCTGCTTTGAATAGAAGGCGGGATATACTTAAATCCACAGTTGAATTTAGATTTCATACTGTTGTGGTCTAAAAAAAACGCAACACAATCATGGGATGGGATTGGGATTAGCTAACGTTGTTTGCTCTCAGTTGTTAAAATGCTGCCTACTATTCTCTTTCTTTGCTTCTCAAGAAAAATATAACCTCTTTCCCCCCCTCCCTCCCCCCCAAATCTAGGGTTTTTGCACCCAAGTGTGCTTCCTGTAACCAGCCTATTTTGCCAGTCCAGGTACGTTTTTCTTCTTTGTCATTTGATTAATACTTTAGCCCCGGCACAGCAATTGTGTGCTGGCTTGCAGGCACTTTGCCACCTCAGGCACGGGAAAGCTCACTGGCTTGGTTTCCATTACACATTGACCCAGTCAGCTGTGTGGACACATGCCAAGCCTTCCAAAGGGATCCCTCTGCCCTCTTGAGTGGGCAGTCTCAGCAGTTCTCAATGTCTGATCCGTGTGAGATCCCTAAAGTGTTCCTTTTCTCCACTCTGCTGATACGGGCTCCGATCTTTCTTATCATAGATATAGGACCAAGCCCAAGTTTTGCAGAGAAAGTACATCTTCGGGAACCTTAATTTCTGCACTTAATTTTCTAAGGAAGGAAATTAAATATTTGGGAAATGGGTTTCATTGTGGCACTTATATAACAAGGAGGGATTTATACAGTTGCAGAGGGAGGTTTCAAAGTGCCTATTTGCCTTGAAATCAAATGATGGACACCTTTCCAATTTTCACCTTATTTTGTTGTCTCTCCAAATTAGGGCTCCGAAGAGACCATCCGGGTGGTGTCAATGGACAGGGATTACCACGTGGAATGTTATCACTGCGAGGTAAAGCTTAGAGCTGCTGAGACAGCCTAGTTAGAGGGAGGGAGCAGTTTGGGTCTAGTCCTTCCCCCAGGAAAAGAAATCCATTCAAAAGGGTTAGTAGCAGCATCATTCCTGGTATGTTTTGCTTTTGTTTCCTAATTTGCCTAAAGCATTTTTCCGCTACTCTTTAATTTAATTTACATTCTGGGGTGGGTTGCAAAGATCTATAGAGCACTATAAAACAGTAACAGTAATAAAGAGGTGTAAAAAATAAAAGACAGCACAATGGGATATATATGGCAAAATAAGGAAATTTGGGAGATGATAGTAAGAAATGCCTGGAAAATATCTTATTTCACCTTTCCTTTGCTTTGCACACCTGCAAAGGTCATAAATGCAAAGATTGGTCATGAGGTTACTTTTTCCTCACTATCATCACACTGAATGGTAGCTAAATGAGGACTAGCTGTACTCATTATCCCAAAGGCGTTTTTCAAAAGTCAACCAGACTTTTTTTTCCTTGAAGACATTTTCACTTGTCATCCAAGAATCTTCTCCACGGAAGAAACGAAGTCCAGTTGCCTTTTGAAAAGCACCTTCACAACCATGGCCTGGATGGCTTGGGAATCTCCATAGACATCTGTACTCATTGTGTCTCCCAGAAACTTACTTCAAGCATCCTAAGTCCACTGGCCACTGATGGATGGGTGGTCTTCTTTTTCTTAGGATTGTGGACTCCAGCTGAATGACGAGGAAGGCCGCCGATGCTATCCCCTCGAGAGACACCTGCTCTGCCACACCTGTCACATCAGGCGCTTGAGCACTAAAGTGTCGGCACACTCTCCCTCTGGGTACCCCATGCACATCACGGAGCTCTGAGGCTTCCACTCCCCATCTACCCAAGGCCAAGAGGAAGAGACCTGCTGGGAAAAGAGCTTTAGAAAGACAAAGCAGCCACCATTATTTGTTGCTTCTAAGATTGGAAAGGAAGGGGCACCTCTTCGGTTGGCTCTGTGTACAATTTGCCTAAGTAATTCTTTCCAGGATGCTGGTACTTGAAAAGTAGTGCACCTCGTGGATTGGATGGGGAAAGGGCACGGTGTCAGAGCTGTTGGGATGACTGACCATCCATTAACACTGGCTTGTTGCCATTTTTACTGTTGATTGTTTGAGCTCCCAGAAGAAAGATTAGCTTTCCAATAGGAAAGAGACCAAAAAGCTTCCATCGTGTTTTAGGTCTCCTCGCACCCTGACCTTGTGGTTTTCCTAATTTGAGAGGCACAGTGGTTGTTGCATGCGTCAAAAGAATGATGGCCAAAGTGAATGTGACTTAAAAGGAACAACTGACTAGAATGTAGGGGATACCTGTGGGTGTTCCATCTTGGCCTTTTGTTGGATTTCTCTGCAAAACGAGTGAATGAAAGGACGGAGAGCATTCCTGTTTTAGGGCTTGTCAGGCATGGTTCTTGGGTGCTCGGCAAGGATGTGAGGGTTTAGTGTTTCCAGGCAGAACACACAGCTAAGGGGAATGCTGCAGGCTCTCTAGGGAGACTGGTTACCTCATAGCTTTCTGGGATCCAACAGGCAACAACTGTCTGCAGAGGACCCTCGCTGAAAGCAGGGTTGGAGATGGGGGGGTGGGGTGGGGAAAGGGCATAAGCATTCCCAACCCGTAGTTTTTTCCTAGAATTCTCCTGCAGCAGAGATGTGAATGTGTCAGAATGGGAAAAATTATATACAGGTGGTATAAGTTTATTCATTAAATTTAATTCAGATTTGAATTCACTCAAATTAAGTTTCTGTCCCATCCATTTCTTTGGACCTGCCACCACTTATTTTTGAAAGGAATCTTCCCAGCATCCCGAAGTTCAGATGCAGCCTGGAGGCCCAGAACGATTTTGCTCAAAGAACAGCAGAAATGGGCAAGGCAGAAGCCCCATTGGTCGCCCTCTCTTCCTGCGTACAAGGAAAGTGGATCCTTGTGCTGGATGCACCAGGTGACTGCAGGCAAAGAAGCCGGCTCTCTCGTCAAGAAGGACCTTCCATACCTGTCAGACGTCACTTGGCACTTCTCAAAGTCACTGTTTTGAAACTGACTTTCGCTAATAAATTCAGCTTGGAGTGTCTGCAGGAAGGATCAAAAAGATCAAGATGGTGATTTCAGCTGCCTGGTTGTGGCCACCCCATTGTCATCAGCCTGGACATCCTGACTCCTGCAAATGGACAGTGCACCCATTCATTCCCTCTCTTTCAGCTAAAAGGATGGCAGTTCTGTGGCATGACTTGCAAAGATCCTACTTCTAGAGGTATTTTTGTTTTTTACAACTTGGTTATAACCCAGCTTTAAAGGCCAAGTTAATTATACTTGAATCCACAGCACTTGCATGATAATTTCCATGGCCTCTTGACCATCACAAAGCATTTTTAGGTAGCTCACAAAACAGTTGAACAGTTTTTTAAAATCTCAGGAAACAATAGTCTTTTTTCTAGGCGCTTGGATGTAAAGAAATTGGCTCAGATCTATAGCAGGGAAATGGCTAATTTGGAGCATAGAGGGTTTTTAAAAAAAAATTTTTAGCAAAAATTAAAACACATAAGAAATAATGTATTAAGAAGTCTTACACTTCTGTTTTGGCTAGACTTTTAAAGCACACTTCCAACTCTGGGAAAATCTGTGTTCCATATGGAAAACGTTTACTTTTTCTATTAAAAAATAAGCTATGTTGATTATTTGAGACAAGGAGGTGCCATTAATGTAATTAAAATTGACCACATCAGTTGAGGCTTCAGTTTCGGCCATGTTGTATTAATTCCTTATATACATTGACTTTAAAACAATTTCAGCTTGCTGCTTCTGATAAAACCACCTGGATTAACCCTTTGTAAAGCTGTTTGGTGCTCCAGCAACTTCAGTGAAAGTACACTTTGGGAATCAAATAGAAAAACACGGCTAAATCTGTTTAAAAACTAAAAAAGACCTCTTCTGGAAGAGCAGCAGGCTGCCTTCCCCCAGGCCACTCAGAGTCCTGTCAGGCGCAGCAGCAGCAGGGAGTCTCCCAGGTCTGCAGGGCTGAGAAGAGGGAAGAGCCAGGTGAGTCAGTGCAAAAGGAATGTGCATGGGAGCATGATGGGGCCCTTTGGAAGGAGCCCCCCTCCCCTTCCCATCAGATCAGCCCTTTTAAGGCTGTGCCAGATGGTTCTGTTTGCCTTTTCGTGTTTTGAAGTTTCCAGAAAGTCATCACTGTAATTCCCTTGATTTTGCTGCAAGGAACCCTTCCACCCACTCCCAAATGCCCATTTCCTCTTGCAGATGGATGGCTTTCTGCTTCCTTCTCCAAAGCACCTCCTCTCTCCTTCCTCTGCTGTGGAGTTTTATGGCACTGATTGTTTTCGTGTCAAACTTGTCCGTTCCTGCTACTGCCTTAATCTTCAGCAAATAGCATAACAGCTAAAATATGTACACAGGCTATTATTTTTCAAACATACCAGTCTATTTCATTTGTTTAAAATATTTCAGGGGATTACCTTTTACATACTTAAATGGATTTGTCAGCCTGGTAATTTTCTTCATAAACATTTTCTTGTTTTAAATTTTGTTTCTCCCCCACCCCCCACCCCGTTGCCGAAATCTGATCCAGCTGAGTTTTCTTTTTCCAATGCCTTTTTCCATATTAAAAATGTGGTTTTTAAGGAGAAAGCAGCTAGAAAGTGTCATACAGCAAAAAAAAAAATTTTTTTGCAAAAAATGTGAAACATGCTACCTCCCATCAATGGCGGCTGAACTGTGGACCCCCGAGGCCCTCAAGGGCTGGCCTGGCCCTGCTCCAGAGCCCCAGCCTGGTTGCTTTGCCCACCGGCCTCTCTCGCTGAAAGCGTGGGGAGGGCACTTCCCCACCAGCACCGCTAAGGGAACCTGCCCACCAGCCCTTCTCCTTCGCAGGAGGTCGTCCACCTGGTACCCAGGGACAAGGGGTGCCACACCAAGGGGCACCAGAGGGAGGGACCTGCAGAGGGAACCTGGGAGATCAGGGCCACCTCTGCATTTACTTCAGAGTTTGGGCTCCACAGGGATGAAGTACTTTTTAACATTTGTGCCAAAATATTTATGGGAGAGCTTCCTTCCTTCCTTTTCCTTTTCACTGATTCATATGCGCATGAGCGAGGAACCCGAGATAGATGCACTTATTGAAAAGAAAATAAATATTTGGAAGACCCATCCTGCCCCGTAACTTAAGGTTCCAAAGGAGAGGAAGAGATGGAGAAATAATTGTTTCAAAACAAGTGGGTGGATGTCTTATAATTTAGAAATTAAAAAATTGATGGGAGAGTTCCATTGAGTTAAACCAAAACTACAGAAGATATTTTTTTTCTTAGGCCCCAATAAACTCTTGTGATTCAACTAATGCCATAACTAGAGTATATAATTTGACTTAAATTAAGTTTGTTTCTTGAGAAATATTTGCATTTTCTTTAAAAGAATATAGGTTTTATTTCCAAGAACTTGGACCAATGTTATTTTTTCTTTTGTAGGAAATAAAAAATGGGCAATTTGTATATTATGTGTCTAGTTTACATCTGCAAACACATTAGGTTTAACCATATTTGTATATATCTTTCTAAGATGTCAGACTTTTAGTTCATAGACTTGTCAAAGTTTTTGTGTTACCACTGGTTTCCATGATTGTTGAAGAATAAATGTTGGGAAATGTAGATTTATTTATCTAAAAAAGCTACTTACTATTATCCTAAGTTATTTTAATATTAAAAGTCAGAATTTCATTTAACCTTAGATGTTATAATCTGCTTTTTTCAATAAAGACATTTTGTAGTTACCTCTTGATTTTATAGTGTAATCATTCTTTTTCGACAAAGTGGCTCTGTGGAAATTAAGAGATATGGAATTTGATGCTCCCAAACTGGACTGCAGACCATTAGATATTCTCAACTTTTCTCAAAGGGCAGAACCAGAGAAGAGAGAATGAAGGGGGGGGGATCATGGGGTCTAGAATCCCTCAACATGCCCCAACAAACCTCTGAATATTTGTGAATGTGTGTTACCTCAACTGACAGCAATTTTTTCCCCTTGGGATGACTTCTGATGTCAAAATGAACTTAGAAGGAGACACCCATCAAAGAGAACCAGAAGTGCTCAATATGGAGACCACCACTGATCCCTGGACTGGAAGTCTGAGGTAGCTTGAAGCCTTTTTTCTGAGGATGAAAAACCTAACTCTGCAGGTTCTCAGGATGCTTAACTCCCTCTGTACACTGACAAGACAAGGTACAGTCCAAATAAAGAACAGAAAGAGAAATGTGATGATTAATTCTGGTTTATTTCTGTGCAGGTAAGGCTGGGTCTTCACAAGACAACACGGAAAGGGTTTAACCATCCTCTACAGGCTGCTCCCGTCCACAGCAGGACCAGGCACAGGGACTGACACAAGAGGGATGCGGTGCTCTACACGTCACAGTTGCCATGAAACGGTCACTAATTCAAATTTCTAGATTTGTTTAAGGATTCCTTTGCAAACACGGCTTCCGGTACAATAAAGCTAACCATCAAGAACAACGAGGCCAGAACTGGTGAGAAGTCTGACCTGGGAAGCGGCTAACAAAGCAGCAGCTACAACACTGATCTGGCCATCGGGCCGGCAGCCTGTTGCGGTCAGGCTCGGTTCTTCTTGATGAAGGCGATCAGCCCGTTAGTTGAGGCATCGTGGGAGGTGACTGGTGCATCGGATGCCAGTTCAGGCTCAATTTTTTTTGCCAGTTGTTTTCCAAGCTCAACACTTAAGAAAGGAAAAGAGGGGGAAAATTCAGGCTTTGGAGTGAAAGCTTTAAAACAAGCACCAAATTCCTATTCTCACTGTCCCCAATTGTTCCGAAATCCCTTTGTA